ACATTGTTATTGTTTCTGTACGAACTTGTCCATTGTTACATCAGTAGCTATGTTATCTTTTCTTTCCTTATACATTGTTATTGTCTCTGTACGAACGTGTCCAATGTTACATCAGTAGCTATGTTATCTTTTCTTTCCTTATACATTGTTATTGTTTCTGTATGAACGTGTCCAATGTTACATCAGTAGCTATGATATCTTTTATACATTGTTATTGCTTCTGTACGAACGTGTCAAATGTTACATCAGTAGCTATGTTATCTTTTCTTTACTTGTTCATTGTTATTGTTCCTGTACGAACGTGTCCATTGTTACATTAGTAGCTATGTTATCTTTTCTTTCCTTATACATTGTTATTGTTTCTGTACGAACGTGTCCAATGTTACATAAGTAGCTATGTTATCTTTTCTTTCCTTATACAGTGTTATTGTATCTGTACGAACTTGTCCAATGTTACATCAGTAGCTATGTTATCTTTTTTACATTGTTATTGTTTCTGTACGAACGTGTCCAATGTTACATTAGTAGCTGTGTTATCTTTTCTTTCCTTATACACTGTTATTGTCTCTGTACGAACTCGTCCAATTTTACATAAGTAGCTATGTTATCTTTTCTTTACTAGTTCATTGTTATTGTTCCTGTACGAACGTGTCCAATGTTACATTGGTAGCTATGCTGTCATTTCCTTCCTTATACATTGTTATTGTTTCTGTACGAACTTGTCCAATGTTACATCAGTAACGAATTGTGATGTGATATAAATGGACTGTTTTTTCAACCCAGTCTGAACTAAACCTACGAATGAACTAGTGTATAACTATCGCAGCCTCCCTTCCTTAAATCTTGCTTGTGTAGGAAGTTTCGAATAAGTCTATTTTTCTAACGTTATAACAAAAGAGCATGAATACCCATCAGATCCGCTAAGAAGCCTAGGCATTTGGTACTTTATAAGTACGTTATATTGGCGTCATTCAGTAACCACGTGTGTGTTTCTTTGTCATTATTGACTATTGTATGGGTGTTTCTCCGTCATTATTGTTTTTGCTGTTGTCTTTTTGCTTTTTTGCTATATGTATTTTCCTTGATAGAGTAACAACGCTTTGGCTAAACGCTTGATTTACATATGTTTTGGTATTGAAATCAGGAAATATCGTCACCAAAACAATATCTATCTTTTCATGACCAAAATGCGCAAACAAAGGTGCGCGCAAACGTCGTCTTATCTGCAATAAGTTTTGTTCGTTAGGTTAGAAGTACATATTATATCTGGAAACGAGAAACTTGTTGTATCCCTGTTCTTCTGCATTATGTAGTTTTATTGGTCGTTCACTTGCCGAATAATTTAAGACTGAACAGGACAATTAAAAAACCAATTGACAGGACCAAGTGCCCTGACGGGAACGTTTGTTTTGTCAAAAATTCCAGATGTTTTGGACAAAAGTAGACCTTCGCTACATTAGTATAATAAAATATATATGCTGTAATATTTCAAACTGTACTATTTTGTTTTTTAATCCCAGCGTGAGATAGTATTGGACATTTAGAGAGAGGATGGTTCACCCCAGAAGGATCTGTCGTTACGTCCTGTGTATCAGCTGTGTAATTGGACTGTCCGTTATACTAAGGAATGCTCATATGTATCTGTATGAATCTTGTCGTCATGAAGACTACACCACAAGTATGTATCTAAGTACTGGTTCCTTTCTTTGAAATGCTTTCTTGATTGAAATATATTATTTCAGGAAAAGTGCAACTTTGCATGGACCATGTTTAACAGGAATTGTCAGGACGGAAGCTGAACCTTTGAGTAACGACAACATAACCCAAGTTTACAAGATTAACTTAAACAGTTGACATTGTCTCCAGAATATCTATACAATAGATTTCTTCCAGCAGATCAGACAATTTGTGTCCTACATTTCTGTCGACAAATATCGCCACAGAAATATTATGTAGCAGAAAGTTTAAAAATATTGACAAAATGGTATTGAGCAATATGTTGATAAGAGGTTTTGGTGCTTGTGAATGATAACAAAACGATCTTTTCTACAGTTCATAAGTGTTTGTTCATGTTAACTCACTGAGAAATAAATCATGATTTGACAAAAGTAGTTAAAACTGAGCACATATAATGAGCGCACTAAGACTAGAGATGCATAGATCTCAGACAAACATAAACCAGGCGGAGTACACTGCAGGGTTAATAAATACTACGAACAGTTTTTTAAGTATGAAATGATTATATGATTTACACGGTTACGACAGTTAATTCGTTTCATACACCTTTGTATCGACATTCACTAGTGTACACGATAAATTGCGTCAATCAAATTAATATGTGACGAAGAAATACAAAATATGAAGACTCGTGCCGTAAGCGCATTGCCATGAAGCAACTGCATCACTGCATCGATATATATATAAATACGAAGCTGATATATCGTTTAAAAACAATTAACTTAACATGAATGGTGCTGCGGACGTAATTTAAAAAAAGTGAAAATGAATTATTCTGTCATACGTTGATCTCGATTTTTTTTTCAAATGTATATATATTTATAATTAAATCTTTATGGTATATAAATCTTTATATATATATATTAAATGTCTAGCATTGTGTAGGAGCAATAGTAATTACATAGGTGGGTGTGAGGTTTACTGACAGAATGCTTCTTTATTATGTTTAATTACTAACTTTATATCATACCTAGATTTACCTAATGATGTCGTGAGGCCAGAAGTGAGACAGTCTAGCGCGTTGGAACCAAACTATGATCAAACTGTTCGGGTAGGTATCGATTTACATTTCATTATACTTTATATCGACATCTGCAGTTATACAGTTATACGTTCATATCGGTATATTTACATTTGCCCACGCGCCGTCCCATTACAACAGTGTTAGAAGGCAAGTGTAATTATATAGGCTATAATTACAACTGCTCGACTATAATTACAACTGCCTGTTTCAGGTGTAGGAATATGTAAACAAACAAAATGGCCGCCTGAAATGTATTTTGAGGCAGGGCAAATGGTTTTTGTAGGAATATGTCTTAAAAAGAAAAATATGTAAATATAAAAAATACCTGGTTGTCTGGATGTAATTATTGTTGATATAATTACAAGTG